CTTTCTTGCCTAATTGCTGTGGCTAGGACCCACAGTACAATGTTGAAGAGAGATGAAATCTTTGTCTTAAAATCCCTGATCTGAGAGGGAAAACATCTAGTTGTTTACCACTAAGTATGGTGTTAGCTGTGGGTTTTTCAGAGCTTCTTCACCAGATGAAGAAAGTTCCCTTCTATTTCTAGTTTGTTGAATGTTTGTATCATGAAAGTGCGTCGGATTCTGTCAAGTGCTTTTTCTGCATCTATTGGGGTGATTGTGTCATTTTGTTTTTTGTTTTACTGATATGATGTATAACATTAATGGATTTTGGTGTGGTGAACCAACCTTGCATTCCTGGGATAAAGTCTACTTGGTCATAGTGTCTAATTCTTTTTATATGTTACTGGATTTTGTTTGTATCTATTTTGTTTGTAATGTTTGCATCCATAGTCACAAGAGATACTGGTCTATAGTTTTCTCTTCTTGTGATATCTTTGTCTGGCATTGGTAATACCGACCTCATAGAATGAGCCAGGAAGTGTTCCATCCTCTTCTATTTTTTAGAAAACTTTGTGAAGAATTGCTCTTAATTCTTCTTTAAATGTTTGGTAGAATTCAGCAGTGACACCTAGATCTAGGCCTGGACATATATTTAGAAGCAGTTTTTTGATTACTGCTTCAGTCTCTTGACTTAATACACGTCTATTCATTGTCTATTCCTTCTGGAGTCAGTTTTAATAGTTTGTGTATTTCTAGGAATTTGTCCATTTATCTAAGATAAAAAAATTTGTTGGTGTATAATTGTTCAGGTATTACTTTATAATAATTTTTATTTCTTTAGGGTCAGTAGTAATGTCCCCTCTTTCATTTCTGATTCTAATATTTTGAGTCTTTATTTTCTCTTGGTCAATCTAGCTAAAGATTTGTAAATTTTGTTGATCTTCTCAAAGAACCAGCTTTTGGTTTCATTGATTTTCTCCAATTTTTTTTATTCTCTATTTCATTAAATTCTGCTATAATCTTTATTATTTCCTTCTTTCAGCTTGATTTAGGTTTGATTTGCTCTTTCTTTTTCAATGTCTTAAGGTAGAAGACTATGTTGTTGATCTTCCTTATTATAGGCATTTTGCAGCTATAAACTTCCTTCTATGTCCTGCTTTAGTTGCACCCCATAGGTTTTAGCATGTTTTGTCTTTATTTTCACTAATCTCAAAGTATTTTCTGAATTTGCTTTTGATTTCTTCTTTGACCCACTGCTTACTTTGAAATATACTGTTTAATCTGTGAGTTCCCCAGATTTCTTCCTGCTACTCTATTTCATTCTATCTATTTCTAATTTCATTCTATCGCTGTTGTAAAACACACTTTGTATTACTGCTAACTTTTTTAATTTATTCAGGTTTGTTTTATGGCTTGGTATATGGTCTATCCTTAAGAATGTTTTGTGTTTATTTGAGAAGCATGTATATTCTGCAGTTGTTAGGTGGAGTGTTCTATAGATGTCTGTTAGGTCTAGTTGGTTTACAGTGTTGTTCAAGTCTTATTTTTCCTTCTTGCTCTTCTGTCTATTCCCTTTTGTAGTTTTTTTTTAATAAACATTACATTTATTACTGTTACAAATCCAACAATATATTGTTATGACTATTTATTTACCATCTGTAGCAATTTATTAATCCAATGCAGTTTTTCTCACACACACATCCTTTGTGCTGTTATTAGCCAATATATTACAGATATATTACAAGCCTTACAATGCAATATATATACATATATATAATTTCATACCACCACTTAAATAGGTTAAGAGAAGGAGAAAAGTATGCATCTCTTCTGTCTTCTATAAATTACATAACTACCTTTATTGGTGCTCTTTGTTCTTTTGTGTGGACTCAAATTACCATCTGGGGGGTCACTTGCTTTCACCCTGAAGAACTTCCTTTAGTATTTCTTATAAGGTGAGTCTGTAAGCTACAAATTCTCTCAGTTATTGATTATCTGGGAAAGTCTTTATTTTGCCATCATTTTTGAAAGATAGCTTTACTTTGGTTAATAATTTTTTTCTTTGAGCACTTTTAAAATGTTATTCTATTGACCTCCATTGTTTCTGCTGAAAAGTCTACTATTAATTTTACAGAGTTCTCTCTAAATGACACATCATTTTTCTCTTGACGCTTTCAATATTTTCTCCTTGTCTTTGACTTTCATTATTCTTACCATGATGTATCTGCTTATAGATCTCTTCATGTTTAATCTTACTTAGATTTTGTTGAGCTTCTTGGATATGTAGGTTATTGTTTTTCAATAACTCATGAATTTTAATAAATTTGTGAAGTTTACAGCCACTACTTCCTTACATATGTTTTCTGTTCTTTCTCTCTCTCTTCTTATGGTACTCCCATTATACATATATTATTGCACTTGATAGTGTCCCACATTTCTCTGAGGCTTTGTTCATTGTTCCTAATTCATTTTCTACTTGCATAATGTCTACTGGAAGAAGAAGAAGAAGTGAATTTTTAGGTAGATCAGTAGACATTACAACCAGAAGGACCTACAACTAGAATATACAACTATGTGCTGGGGGGCTTGGGGAGAAGAAGAAGAAGAAGAAAAAAAAAAGGAGATTCACAACAAAGGTTAGTTCAGGGCCAATCTTTAAAAAAAAATACTCACACTTATCCTGAAGATTATTAGACACAAAATTACAAGATTTGGAGATTGGAGATGTACAATGAGATTAATGTTGTTTTCATGCCAGCTAATACAATATTCATCCTTGAGCCCATGGATCAAGAAGTAATTTGGACTTTCAAGTCTTACTATTTAAGAAATACATTTTGGGCCGGCCCAGTGGCACAGCAGTTAAGTGCACACATTCCACTTTGGCGGCCTGGGGTCTGCCTGTTTGGATCCCGGGTGCGCATGTGGCACCGCTCATCAAGCCATGCAGTGGCAGATGTCCCACAGATAAAAAAAAAAAAAAAACAAAGTAGAGGAAGATGGGCACGGATGTTAGCTCAGGGCTAATCTTCCTCAGCAAAAAGAGGAGGATTGGCAGATGTTAGTTCAGGGATGATCTTCCTTAAAAAAATAAATAAATGAAATAAAATAAAAAATAAAAAAAAACACATTTTGTAAGGCATAGATAATATTCCTCTGATGGATCTGGGCAAAGTAAACTGGAAACCTTCTAGAAAGGATTCACCATTCTAGATGCCATTAAGAACATTCATGATGTGGGGCCAGCCTGGTGGCAAAGTGTTTGAGTTTGTGTGCTCTGCTTTGGTGGCCTAGGGTTGACAGGTTCAGATCCCGGGCATGGACCTAGCACTGCTTGTCAAGCCACACTGTGGTGGTATCCCACATAAAATAGAGTAAGACTGGCACAGACGTTAGCTCAGTGGCAGTCTTCCTCAAGCAAAAAGAGGAAGATTGGTAACAGATGTTAACTCAGAGAAAATCTTCCTCAAAGAAAAAAAAAATCTGTGATTCACAGAAAAAAGTCAAAATATCAACATTAACAGGAGTTTGGAAGAAGTTGATTCCAACCCTCATCGATGACTTTGAGGAGTTCAAGAAACCAGCGCACGAAGTTAACTACAGATGTGGCAGAAATAGCAAAAGAACTAGAATTAGAAGTGCAGTCTGAAAACGTGACTGAATTGCTGCAATCTCATGATAAAATTTTTACAGATGAGGAGTTTCTTCTCGTGGATGAGCAAAGAAAGTGGTTTCTTGAGATAGAATCTACTCCTGGCAAAGATGCTGTGAAAACTGTTGAGATGACAACAAAGGATTTGAAATATGGCATAAACTTAGCTGTTAAAGCAGCAGCAGGGTTTGAAAGGATTGACTTCAATTTTGAAAGAAGTTCTACTGTAGCATTACATGCTACAGAAAAATCATTCGTGAAAGGAAGAGCCAATCAGTGCGGTAAACTTCACTATTGTCTTATTTTAAGAACTTGCTACAGCCGCTCCAACCTTCAGCAACCACCACCCTGAGCAGTCAGCAGCCATCACCATCATCAAGACCTTCCACCAGCAGACAGATTACAACTGGCTGAAGGCTCAGATGATGGTTAGCAATTTTTAGCAATAAAGTATTTTTTAAATAAGGTGTGAGTACATTGTTTTTTTAGACATAATGCTATTGCACACTTAATAGACCATAGTATAGTGTAAACATAACTTTTATATGCACTGCAAAACCAGAACATTTGCGTGACTTGCTTTATTGCAACATTTGCTTTATTGTGGCGGTATGGAACTAAACCACAATATCTTTCAAGTATGCCTGTAGTTAACTTGCCAAAAGAAAAAAAAATTTAAATAAAAAGATATGTCAATCTAGATTTAAAACTTTAAACTTTATATCTACTTGGCTCCATTATCACTGTCACCAAAACAAATCTTTTGGCCAGTTTTTATCATCTCAAAAAGTCAGATTTCCTCGTAACAAATTCTCCTGCTTAATTCTGATGTTGGGCTAAGCTAAGCGTTAGAGGAAAAAATAGTTCCTGAAGACAAAACCTCCAAAATTACAAGAATCATCAAGGGAATTGGGAACACATGGTAAAGAATACAGTTACACGTTATATTTAAACAAAGGTTAAAGAATGCATTAGGGTGAGATTGTTTGCTCCAAGTGGCTCTTTCTCATACAACAGAGGCCCACACACTTGTGGGAGTTCTGTCACACTTGGGAACCCCAGTTAGAACCTGGCAATAGGAAAGACCCTAAGTCACACGTTCAGACGGGATGTTTGTTTTCAAAGATCTTTAATCTCAAGTGTCAATACCTGATTGAAATAAACAAAACACCTTCACTAAGGAAACAAAGATGGTGAAGGGAGTTAGGTGAATCAAAAATAAATAAAATTACTTTGTTGATAGAAAATGACAGCACTGAAGGACAGCATGAAGTGACAGCTGCTCAAGTGACAAAGGCATTGAACAGCTATTTTAGGTTTTCCATAGTGTGCTCAATAGCTGTTTAAAGAATGCAATAAATGTACTTACCAAATATTTCCCCTCCACTAGCATATTCTGTCACCAGATAAATCATCCGTTCTGTCTCCATAACCTGGTGCAAAGGCAGGAAAGCGACAGACAGTGACAAAAATGACAGGCTGATATCACAGGAAGAGAAACTAATGACTCCTCTTTTGTCCTTTTAAATATTAATAACCATTACTGCTTAAAGGAAATTTAAAGTGTTGTGGGCGGACAGATATAAACGTTATTAAGAAGAGAGGGGGAAAATAGGTATTCCTCCTCCAAGTTGTTAAAAGGAGGAAGTATTTACTCCTTGAGAGAGACAGTCCTTGTGTTGCTCCGGGAGGCCTCTGCAATCTCTTAAGCTCCACAAAACTGAGAAGCAAAGAAGCTATCAAAACCAAAAAGTTCACATTCAACATTGATCACTTAAAGCTCAAAAACGTCCCCCGCCAAAACCAACCAAAACAAAAAAGTCTTAGAGAAAACAATGGGAATCACTTAAGAATGGCACCAAAATCACATATGGCAGTTTTTTAAATGGAAATGACAACTTTCCTTTTCACTATCCATTTATTCAAAACTGAGAGTAACAATGTAAATATCCAACACTTCAAATAATGTAAATTACTCATTTGTGTTTTGTCTTGGTCTCTGTTTTGCTACTTTTTAAATTAGTTGTAGTGTGTTGTCACTACAACTTCCTTTTTACCTTGTTCATTGAATATTTTCTTAAAGTAACATTCCTTCCTTTTCACCCTTTTCACTGAATATTTTCTTAAAGTAACATATGAGAACATATGCTTCTTATAAACATTTTAAATACCTACTATATCAACAAATACATCACAGGTCTTCCTCTCCACCCCCCTCCATTTTATTCCACAGAGGAAAGCCTGTTAATAGCTCATTTTGTATCATTCTAGAGCAGTGCTGTCCAATAGAAATACGTGAGCCTCATAAATAATTTTAACTTTTCCAGTAGCCACTTTAAAAAAGTAAAAAGAAAAAGGTGAAATTAATCCTAATAATCTATTTTATTTACCCCAATATGTCTAAAATATTACCATTTCAAAAACGTTTAAAATTGTAAACTGCCAGTTTTTACTTCTAAATTAATTAAAATGTAATTCTAGGCTTTCACTATACTTCACAGCTCATTATTTTGTTAAATTATTTACCAGTTACTTTATCTTTGACATCTTTACACATTAATACCATGTAACAGTAGTATGTATCATAATAATAGAGTTATCTCTTTTTTCAATGGTTTCATGGTACTCCTTCATGTAAGTGTACATTAATTTCATTTTCCAATCTAATAACTGCGTCGTTCTTTTTTTCTCTTTACCTTTTAAAAACTCTCTATATACTGGTGATATTAGCCCACTGTTTGTTACATTTATTGCTTCCAAGCTCTCTCTATATGTTGATTTATATAACAAAAAGTAAGTGCTCTAAATATATGCAGATGTTTAGAACAAAAATAATGCCATATTTTATATCTCCTTTGTACCCCCAGGTCTTTTATTGACTGCAAATGTTCTTTTATTACTAAACTTTTCAGGAGTTTAAAAACTTTGCTATACAGTTACCTATATTTGGCTTACTCTATAAACCTGAGGAGACCAAAGCTTTGGCAAATGACCTGTATCTACCTTGATACTATGAAGACAGCCACTCACCTTGGCAGCTCCAGAATCTCCCCTTAACAATATCAGATGCCAGAGGGCAAAATTAAGGTTTAAAAAGAGGGCACTGTTCAAAGCCAGGGTTGGAAGTATGGAAATTCTCATAGGCTAATGAAATCCTCAGAAAAGATAAACCTGCAGAATTCAGTTATAAGATTAAAACCTACAAGTTAACCTCTTGAGAAAGGTTAGCCTATTAAGCCCTCCAATTATCTAAAGGTGATTTATTTTAAAAAGTGAGGCCAAGAAGTTTAGTCACTCTATCAGGATAGGAAGGAAGCAGAGGTTAGACACCTCCGAGTTTGCAGATACGGTCTTCAGGCAACACCAGGAAGCTTGCACAGGTTTGCTTCTGGGGCACAGTGTAGGTGTCGTCCAACAAAATTCAGTCTGATAAATTTCAACAAGTCTCCTCCTGCTGATCTAATTCATTTCACTATGTGAGCAGCCGATGCCACAGCAGAGCCCTAAAGCTGTAGCCTTAACCACACATACTAACATGACATGCTTTCTTTTCCATAAAAATAACATACGATGAAAGTTTGCTCATTGTGCCTTGGACGTACTTTCTCCACTCTTACACACAGTCCCATGTCTGGGCCAGTAACCATTTACTGCAGACTAACAGCAGCAAATGAACCGAGTGGGTGGCCACTTCCTGCAGAACTAGGTGATGGCTCTTCTGATAGAAAGCAGTGAGCAAGGCTGGCCCCATGCACAGGCAGAGCTCTGGCTGCCAACACATTGCAATTTGAGAAGCACCCCAAAGCCCCACCTCTCCCAAAATATCTCTTCCACCAGCCTGCTAAGGCAAAGTCCACCCCTCCTATCTGGCTTGAAATTCCAGCTCTAGGTTTACTACTTTTGCAGTAAAGCTAGGGAATCATTTATGACAATGGCACGAAATAATGTATGTTTCTTGGGAAGGTAACAAAACTGGAATAGAAATCTCTTCCATTACACAGACTCAATCTTTTGGTTCTCAAAATAAAAAATGCTACCTTGGAAAACTAAGTCTAGGACTCTACTAGCACAGAAAGGAAGTTCAGGTTCTCACTGAGACAGGAAGCCATCCTTAAAATATCATTTGCCATCATAATTCATAACATGATCACAGAAATTAGTACTTGAATAATGTTATAAAAAATGTTATAATCATCTCTAGCTTTTCATCTCTCAAAATTCTCTGTTCCTTTTGGGTTTACTATTCTGTTTTAGGATTCTGACCTAAAAAAGTAAGTTCTCATCATCTTCTGAATAATCTTTTGTGTAATTCTCACTAAGAATGGCATTCAAATTTTAAAGGACAAATTAAAAAGGCCTACGTGGGTAAGGCAGACCTTACTAGTAAATAGCCAGGGGAGCATAAGCACGGAGTGGAGAACAGACGGGAAACAGTGGGATGAATATAGAAAGAAAAAAGTTGCAGATGTTCACCCATCCACCCTTTCTTCAAAGGTAGCTATCGATACAAGTGACCATTCTGAGTTCTTTGTTGCCATATGCTACACCACTAGTGAGCCTACCTGGTAAAGCCTGATGATATGGGGGTGGCAAAGCATCTTCATAATTTGAACTTCCCGGAAAATCTTCTTCAAGTTTTCTTCATCCAGTTGGGTCTTGTCTATGATCTTGATGGCAACCTGACAACAGAGGAAGAAAATTTACTCTGATGCATTATTAAAAGCAGTTTACTAAGGAAAATTAAATCCACTTAAAAACATCATATTCCACAAAATACAAACTGCCAGTATTTTGTTCACAGAATGCCAATGAAGAAAATAAATTTACTCTTTTTGTAAAAGACAGGAAATGGATTTCCAGCAAAGTTGGTTTCAAGGGAATAGACTCCAAAAGCAAACGAGTCTTTTGCCATTTCTTAAATTGCTCCCACAGTAAAACCCCACAATCAAATACTCCATCCCTCACAGATGCCGTTACAGTCTCGGCAAATCATGCTTAGGTGCAGAGAATGGTATGTAGGACTTCCTATTAAGACAAGAAGCTTACATCGTAAGTACATGATGGTTTAGTAAGGTTCAAGAAGTCCCACAAGAGCACTCCACATCTCACCAGGGGCTTGTATAACTCACTCATGGTGGTGGTGGTGGTGGCGGTTGCAGCAGCAGTTACCATTTACTGAATGTTTACTACGTGCCAGGCACAATTCTTAGTGCTCTGCAACTACTAATTCATTTAAACCTCACAACATCTCATATTATTATTAACCATACAAACATGGAAACTGAGACACACAAAGATTAAGTAATTCACAGCTAGTATGCGGTAGATCCAGGATTGAAGCCCAGGGAGCTTGGATTTAGAGTCAAATTCTTAACGGTAGCGCTCTAAAAACCTGAAGATCTTTCTGTACAGCATATACACTGCTTCAGCAGAGAACATCTTTCTATTTTGCTCATTATTATTCCTAAAATACCCAGCAGCACACACATTTTAAAACAGCATGAAAGATAAAGGACTTCTTTTTAATCTACTAAATCTAAACCTCCTCATTATTATTAGTGAAATACCCAAAATACTGTGCTGCCCCAAAATATTTCTATATCTCAGTTTCAACTACTCAATCAGAATGTAATCATCGAATATTAGTTGGATGAAGGATCAGGACTAGGCAAATTCTAGCCCTTTCAGTTCTTAAAATTCTTTTATTTTATACACTGGGAGAGGGAAAGGAAACTTACACTTATTGAGTAAAAAAAATGAAAAACCAGGGAGAAAAACATCAACACTAATAATGTTTAGCTCAGAGAAATAAAGACTGTATGGAAGTATACATGTGAGATGATTCAAATGTATGAATGACTAGCATAAAAGTAACCTTGTTTGGAGTTGTTTCAGATGCTTGAATGAAGACTAATGGGAGAAACGCACAGGCAGACAAAGTTCAGCTCGATTAAAAGGGCATTTAAAGCCCCCCCCCCAACGATGAAATGCGATAAAATGAGCAGGGTATATCTTGAGCTACAAAGATTAATCAGACACAGCCTTAAATTCAAGGAGCTCAAAATCTAGTAGGAGGAAGACATATGTGAAACAGACAACAAGACAGCATTGGAAATACAATCAATAAAGCTATGTATAAGGTATAAGAGTAGAACAGAGGATGGGGTTATGACCTTCGCCTTGGGGAGAAGTAGTAGACAGAAAAAAAGACTTCACAAAGAAGGCAGAACTTGAAAAGAGAAAGAATTGGGATAGGCAGAAAAGAGGGTAGGGAATTTTATGAGAAGAAATAGCAAAATCATTAACAAATATCATCAGCTGTTTGATTTCCTATAAGAAGTCTTGAACCATACGACTCCTGACCTCTAGAATTTATACTTCTCATTACTGTGCCAGGTCAGATACAGGACCTTAACTCCAGCAATTTGTCTGGCATCTGCTCCTGGTTCTTTAAAAACAGTTCCCAAGACAAAAAAAAAGTCACAGTACAAAAAGGACAGTACACAGTCCTTTTACAGAATAAATATCTGGGTCTTAATAGTAATAATTATCAATAAAATCTTACACACGATTAGCACATTATATAGAGTACTTTCATATACATAAGAAGCTTTGAGACTCGAGACATATGCCCATAGCAGAGCTTCCCATCTGGTATGCTGGAAATGAGTTACAGGTATACCTCAGGCAATGGGTAGGTGACAGTGGATCACCTCCAGCTTCAAGGAACCTCATTTGTTTACTCCAGAGAAAATATTATCATTTTCTGTGTGTGCCACAACACACAAAAGGTTGGGAAGCACTGCTAAGATTGTTGATCATCAACTGTCCAACGATTGGCCCTGAAATCCCCTATTCTGCCCATGCCTACCCCTGGATGGCATAGAAAACTAACAGAAGGTGGTGAGTAAGGGTGTAGAATGAGGGCTGTTAATGCATTTGACCGTATTTTTGCACTTTTTCAACCCCAAGAGAGTACTGGGTTACACTGTAGTTGGGAGAGTCATAAAGTGAGGCCTCCTGATTCACAGTGGATTCATTCTGAATTTCATTTATACTCTGAGGCAACAGGACTTTGATAAAGGTCAAGAGAAAACCAGACCTAATCATATATGATAACAAAGTTGGCTAAGATCTTATATATTATGCACTTAATAAATATTTTTAATTTAATAAAGATAATGGTTTAGTATGGATGTAGTTTTATGTTTCATAAGAAGCATATCTGGGGGGCTGGCCCAGTGGTGCAGCAGTTAAGTGCGCATGTTCCACTTTGGTGGCCCGGGGTTCACCGGTTCGGATCCCAGGTGCAGACATGGCACCACTTGACAAGCCATGCTGTGGCAGGCGTCCCACATATAAAGTAGAAGAACATGGGCACAGATGTGAGCTCAGGGCCAGCCTCCCTCAGCAAAAGGAGGAGGATTGGCAGCAGATGTTAGCTGAGGGCTAATCTTCCTCAAAAAAAAAAAAAAATGAGGTATATCTGATTTCACATAAAGGGACTATGGTCCCATATACAGAAACGTATTCTTATCTTTTTGGAGTAAATTGCATTAAGTATAAACTGTTCTTAGAAGGTGGACTCAGAAGGGTTTTAATAGATTAAAACATCAAATTCCTGTCTACTCTTCAATGAGATTCAAGATTCAACAAGACACGGATAGGAGAAGCTTTGCCTAGCAGCTGAATACAGTGTCAAAAGGAACAACTCTGGTATCAAGCTGCCTGGGTTCAAAATCTTAGAACTGTCCCTTAATCTATAACGTTGAGCAAGTTATGTAACTTTTCTGTGGCTCCTTATCTACAAAATGTAGGCAACAATAGAACCTACTTTAAAGGTTGACAGGGATTAACTAATTATGCATGCAACTTGCTTAGCATAATGCCTGGCATATGGTAAACACACAATACACATTAATTACAGGTACTACTGTTGCTATTTATTTGCTTTTTTCTGGAATCAAGCCTTAAACTTTAGGCATTCTGTGACAAGGATTACATTTGCTTGACTAAGCAACATAATCCTGGATCTGAAACACACCAATTCCTTACTCAAGGGGTGAGTTGGGGGGCCAAGAAGCAAAACAGCTAACAATTTGTAGGCAGCATTCAGAACCAACCAGCTGCCTCCACCTGACGTGGGAAGAACACAGAAGGAATGAGGCCAGGAAAAAATTGCATTCTGTTCAGGAAAGTCACACTGAGCCACAGGATGGAACCCGTGCAAGACCAGATCCTGAGGGCTGTGCCAGAGAGAGAGTGGTCTGACTCTTCATGGCAGGTCAGACGCCACCCCCTTCCCCCCACCTTCCATCCATAGTAAGTAGCTAACACCAAAGAGGAGGCTACTTAGTGCTACTTGGCATGTGTACCTGATAGGACCACTTAATGGAGAAGGCAAGTTCCTAAGCTCAGCTCCTACCCTAGCTGCAAACTGGAAAGCAAAGGTTTTCTAAAAAGTGGAAAAATACCAATGAAGCAGAGAAACAATCAAGTCAAAGAGCAGGTAGTTGGCAAGCAGCTATGATTATTTTGAGAATAACTCAAGAAATCACTGATCATAAGTTTTCACTGCTAAGATTATTGAAGGCTATATATAATAAAGGTTTAGCTTAAAGTATATACCAGTTGCTTAAAAAATTAAACGCGTCCATAGCAAACGGTAAATAGGTAGGTAAATAGAAGACAAACTCTCAAAGAATATTTTTAGATTGGTGCTGAAATCTATGAATCACATACTTACACTTACATATGAAAAGCATAACAAGTAAAGAAGGAAACTTTCAACACATTACCAAGAGACCATACATTACTTAAGTTTGCCTGGTCTGCATAGAAATCTTTTATCTTGCAAAGAGCATAATTTTGTGAGTTGATGCTGACATTACTTAAACATGGCATGGTATCAAATAGATTGCTAAATAGATACAGATTGTGGGAGTCCTTAACTTCTCAACCAAGATATTTCCATTCAACAAACTCTTCTTTTTTGATTGGCATGTGGTACAAAAGAATACAAAATTCAGATCATGCCCAATTTAAAGTCATATTCCTTTATTGTTCATTCTAGAAGGGGAAAGATAGCCATTTCCCCCTTTTAGTTCTTACTTCTAAACCACAGTTACTTTAACTCTTACCTCATTTTTGAGGCACAGCCATGCTCACAGGGAATGAAGATTAAGAAAAATAGTGGTTTCTTCACAACAGGCAATAATTTACTTGAATATCCTGACACCACATTCACAGCCAAGATAAGACGACAGAATAAAAACCAATGAGCCAAGGAAAGGTTCAGTATTAAGATCAAAACAAACCAGCCTTCCTCCTCACCCATCAGAAATAACTGGTCTCTTCATTCAGGGATGTGCTATGACAAATGGACAGTTAAAGAAAGGAACCACTCAGGAAGAAAATGCAAAGCCCACAAGTGCTAAAATTCCTCCAAAAACAGAAAGAGCACTCCCTGAAACTAGTATACAGATGCACACATAATAATTTCACAGAATATAGTAAATAGCCTGAATGCTTCTAGGAAAGGAGGAGAAAACATGACACTGTGGGGGAAAGTTTATTTTTTCAATACTCTTAAAGAAAGAAGCTCTAGTTCTCACTGAAATGTCTGGAAATTTAAGCAGATATCAAACTTTTTACCATTGTGAATTATTTTCAATGGGGG